CCACTGCTGCTCTGGGTCCCTCGGCTGGCCCACTGCCGCCGAGCCCAGGCGTCCTTTGTCCCTCTGTCCAGCTGCCCAGTAAATGGGGAACGTGGTGTGGACCAAGGCTCTGCCCCCTTGGAACCCTGCTCTGTCCCCTGCAGCACACGGGCCGCTGTGGCAGGGCTGGCAGTGCCCTCCTGGCTGGGCAGCTGCTCTGGACTGTGTGTCCCTTTGATGGATGGGCCTGTTGTCCACCAGAGGTGAGAACTCACTCGTCGTGACCCCGTTACACCGATCTAACGAGAGATGAAGGAAAGCATTCTCCTCAGCCCCTCCCTGCATACACGTGTCTCCCTCCAACCCCATGCTCTAGGCAGCTGCCCCCAAGGCTCCCTGGGCAGGGCTGTCTGGGCAGAGGGCACCAGAGGCTCAGAGCCACGGGGCGCACCCACCAATGCGGGGTAGAAGGTGCAAGCAGGGGAGCCCAGGTGCCCGGGTGGCTGAGCCAGGGCAACAGAACTAGGGAGGTTGGGGTGAGGGAGCAGCTCCCGTGAGTGGTCAAAGGCAGGGGCGGAAGGCGGAAAGGGTGAATGGGGCTGCTTGACAGGACAGGTCACATCCCTTGGTGGGCCGAGGTCTGTGCTCTGAGGTCCTCATTCAGCTGTTTGCTCTCGCTGCGCTCTGAACCCCGCTTCCTGGTCTGTGCACCAGCCCACCAATGCCCACTCCCAGCACTTGGCAGGGCTGCCTAGAGAGGGCCGTGTAGGTGGGAGGTCAGAAGAGCGCCCTGTGCCTGTCCCCTCGCCCCTGTGGAGTTAGGGGTGGGAAAGGTGACTCACCTTCCTGCACACCAGGAGCTACCCTGAAAGAGGAGGACCCCAGGACCCCAGCCTGGGCTCCCCCATGGCCCCAACATCACACACTGAGGAGCAGGGGCCTCAGAGGGGACAGTGCCCGAGCCAGGAGCAGGTGGATGCTGCACGGCAGTGTCCAGGATAGCGTGGCAGGCAGGGCTGGATGTGGAAATTGGCCAAGCAGGTGGGGGTGGGGGGCAGATCATGGTGGGTGCTCACCATGGGCGGGGCCCTGAGCAGAGCACCTCCCATCGACCAGAGCGGCAGGTCCTCCTCTTGGGCTGACACTGAGTTTGACCTGGGCCTGCTCTGCACACTGGTCCCAAACCCTGCCACAGATTCCCAGGAACAACCCAGGGGACAAACTTGGGGCCAGTTGGGGTGGGCTGTGGGAATCACAGCCTTGAGCCTTGTCTGGGGGAGTGGGCCTCCCCGTTGCTGGGGCTTCTCCAAGGGCTGTCGGAGCAGGAGGGCTGTCTCCAGGCTCCTGGTTTTTGGAGCCTCACGTCCCGGGAAGGGCAGGTCTGACTCGAGCGCCACACCGTCACCACGAGGACTGCAGTCCCAGCCACGTGGGGTCTGAGGCTCCAAGCAGGTCTGGATGCAGGGATGGGGGCGAGGTCGTCACTGCACATCAGGAAGTTTTCTCTCAGTGGATTAACTCCCTTTTGAGTTGACTAAGGTCCTTCTTTGTCCCCCTGAAGGGCAGTGTGTTTCTCCTCTTCCCATCATGGCCCTTTCTTCAAAGAGGTGGTTTGACCTCCTCGGGCTGGTATGACCCGCAGGCCCTTCCCTCCAGCCCCCCGTGAGGGGGTGTCGATGACAAAGCTGCATCCAGCTCGGCTTCTGCCCTCGTCCTTGGCCTCAGATGGACTGTTCTGGAGCTTTGTCACCAGTGGCCCCTGCTCCACCTGACACCCGTGTATCACCTGGACAAACTGCTTACCTCCATGGTGTTCACTTCATGGTGAACCATCGCATGGAGGCACAAGCTCCTGTCTGTCCTATGTGACCACAGATGCCCACAAGCCTGTGCTAACGGAAAGAGAGATACGGCACTGGCTAAATGCAGCCTCTTGAGAATTTCCTAACTAAAAAGAGTTTTTTTTCTGAAAAGCGTCAAGCTATTTGTAGCCCACGTTGGTTGAACAGATTTTTCTGGGTGTAGCTTATTTTTTCACTCATTAACTTCTTTTTCTTATGAATTAAAAAGTAGCATTTTTCCCACCCAGGAACATCTTCCTTACTTGTCTCTGTACCACAGCCGGCATTTCTGCTCCTGTTGGGGGAGCAGGCTCAGACCCAACCAGGGAGGCTGGGTTTTCCTCCAACCACAGCCCTGAAGTGGGAAGTCCAATGGCTGGGCCACGCCTACCATGCTCCTTCCCAAAGTCACACGTCCCCAGGGTTGTGCCGTTTGATGGGCAGGGGATGTGTAAGTGTTTCACTTGGCTGTCAGTTGGCAGCATCCAGGCTCGAGAAACCAGAAAAGGCCCTTTGCCGTCCCACCTGGCAGAGCTGGAGACGCGTCCTCTGAATCTGCTGGCCAGTACCCAGGCTCTTACTTTGCCCGTCCAGCCATGGATGCTGTCACCTGAGGTCTCCAACTAGACGGGGCAGCCCCAGTGTCTGTGGTGGGATCCAGGCTGTCCCCTGGACTCACAGTGGTGGGCAACCACAGCCCCAAGGCTCGAAGCGGGCCCCTCCCCTTTCCTAGCCAGCAGCCCACAGTCACCCCCAGGGATTTCACAGGAGCCCTGACCCAGACCTGCCCTTGACGTCTGCTTCCGGGAGCGGCTCCCCGTCCTCTTTCCATCAGCTCCACGCTGGTTCTCCAGGCCTGAGATGCTGGGCTCTAGCCCAACTGCGCTTATGCACACACTCCTTTGGATACACTTACTTTAATGAAAAAGACCCTGTTTATGTGGTGCCCCTCACCCTTTCTGGTCCCATCTCCAGGATTGTTTTAAAATCCGTGATTTGGCCAAGCTAGGCCCTTGACCTGCAGTCCAGTCCCCTCAAGGCCGTGTTCAAACCCCCTGACAGGGGGCTGCCTGGAGCCCTCCCCGACCCAAGGAGGGCAGTGCTGTTGGGCACTTTGCAGGGGCACATCTGCCCTGTTGGGGACAGGCTCCTGTCTCTCCTCCTATGTCCCCACAGGCACAAGCTTGCCTGGCTCAGTCTGTGCTAAATGTTGAACTGTCATGTTTCACTGCCTGATTGACCCATTTTGCAAAACTCCAGGTCCCCTGAGACGGGGTTCTCACCGAGCCCCTCAGGGCTGTTGAAGGCTCAGAAGTCCTGCCTGGCACTCAGAGTGTCCCCTCCGGCCCCACTCCTTTATCCACAATTCCAAATTCCCTAAAGATCTGAAACAAAGGTTTTCAAAACTTGGTGGCAAAGCCAGCCTTGAACCAATATTTACTTTTATTTATACTTACTCTGATCTTTATTTATTCCAGTTCGTGTGAACAGTTGTGTTTCAGTACAAAAATCTTAAAAAAAATTTTTTTTTAAATACTGTTTGGCCACGCAGAGCGGCATGCAGGACCTTAGTTCCCCAACCAGGGATCAAACCAGCACGGAGTGGAAGTGCAGAGTCTTAACCACTGGACCACCAGGGAAGTCCCTCAGTACAAAAATCTTAATGTGCCTGATTACGGGCTGCAGCCCCAGGGTCCAATGAGGTATCATGTAATGTATGAGATGTACAAAAATTCTGAATTCCAAACACATCTGGCCCCAAGGCCTGGGTGAGGGGTGGGGGCGGTGGACCGTCCCCACACATCGCAGTGCTGGAGCAGGCAACAGTCTGGTAGAGGGAAACAGGCTCAACCTGGCCCCAGGATTTCGCAGAGTGATGGTGCTGCTCTCATGGCTTTTTCACTTAGAGGTGAAACAACTCTGCCCAGTGCTGGTGCTCAGAGGTGGAGGAGCCCACAGGCCAGCAGAGGGAGGAAGGGGTGCAGGAGGGCATGGAGGGACGGGGCTTCCTGCCTGTGGAGGGAGCAGCAGGCCTTCTCCCACACAGGACCCTCCCTCAACTTGGAAGCTGGTGACCACTGGCCCAACTGTCACTTTCTGCGGGACTGAAAGCTCCAGATGTGCCTCCTGGGGGCACTCCGGGGAGGTCCAGGCCAAGGGCACCTGGGAGTGTGGCAGTGACCGAAGAGACAAGAGGCACTCATGCTGGTGAGTCCTCAGCTTCCCATCTGTAAGTGGGGTGCAGGCCCTGACCTGCCCCGCCTTCGCAGTGCCCTGGGGGGCCCCCTGCAACCCTTCTCAGGGTGCTAGCAGTCTGCCTCTGGGTCTGCAGAGCAGAGGGTGCCGAGGTGGGCATGGGGGGCTCAGGCCTCAGGTTGGGCCCAGCCTGTCCAGGATGGCGGCTCATTCCCCACCAATAATCCTGGAAAGGGGGCCGGCTAACGGCCCAGGTGTGTGGGCTTGCAGAGCTGCGTACACAGCACCAAGCAGCTGCAGGAGAGGAGCTGGGGCTGGTCCCCCGCCACGCATCAAGCTTTCCGCACAGTGACCATCACCTTTCCTGCCACGGCCAGGAGCGGGACTCCCCAGGCCAAAGCCTCCGGCGTCCATCCTGATGAGGTGAGGAGGGGCATCCACTGACCTCAGTGGGCAGAGCATGCCGGG